TCTGTCTCAAAAATAAATAAACGTTAAAAATAAATAAATAAATAAATAATAAATAAATAAATAAATAAATAAATAAATAAATAAAAGAAGGTGGGACGGACAGAAACAGCCAAGGGACTAGCTGCTGGAGCCAAAGAAAGAGCAGCATATCAGGGATGACCCAGACAGCTTTTCTCTCGCACATTTATTTATTCACTACATAAGTTTCTTTATTGAGGGTCTTCTTTGGCCGGACGCTGATGCTGAGCATGCAGCAGTGAACAAATCGGAATTTCTGCCGTCCTGGAGCTTTCTTTCACTCAGCAATATGCACTTAAAGTTCCTCTGTGTCTTCTCATGGCTCGATAGCCCATTTCTTCCCGGTGCTGAATAACACTCCATGGTCTGGATGGACCACAGTTTGCGCATCCGCTCACCTGCTGAAGGACGTCTTGGTTGCTTCCACGTTTGGGCAATTCTGAACAAAGCTGCTGTAAACATTCATGTGCAGGTTTTTGAGTGGACCTGAGGTTTCACTTCCTTTTGGGTAAATACCAAGGAGCACAAGTGCTAGATGAGACGATAAGAGTATATTTAGTTTTGTCAGAAACTTCCAAACTCCTTCCAAAGTGGCTATGCCAGCTTATATCCCCGTCATCAATGAGAGAGTGTTCCTGTGGCTTGGCATCCTCTCTAGCATTTGGTGTTGTCGGTATTTTGGATTTTTCACCATTTTAATAAGTGTGAAGTAGTGTCTCCTTGTTGTGTTGACTTACAGTTTCCTGAGGAGATACGAAGTCAAACAGCTTCTCATTTGCATGTTTGTCATCCATATGTCTTTTCTGGTGAGGTGTCCAGATCTTTTGCTCATTCTTTAATCTGGTTGTTTATTTCCTTATTGGTTGGTTTTTTGTTTTGTTTTGTTTTGAGAGAGAGAGAGAGAGAAAGTGCAAGCAGGGGAGAGGCAGAGGGAGAGAGGGAATCACAAGCAGGCTACACGCTCCGCGTGAGCCCAGCGTGGGGCTCGATCTCATGATCGTGAGATCATGACCTGAACCAAAATCAAGAGTCACACACTCAACCGACTGAGCCACCCAGGCGCCCCTGTTTCCTTACTGTTTTGAAGAGTTCGTTGTATATTTTAGACCAGTCCTTTCTCAGGCGTGTGTTTCACAACGATTTTCTCCCAGTTTGTGGCTTGTCCTTTCATTCAGTTTGTTCACTGTGTCTTTTGCAGAGCAGAAGTTTTTCATTTTAATGAAGTCCAACTTACCAATTTTTTTCTGTTGATATTATATCTAAGAAGGTCCTCTAGATTCTTTCCTTTGATCTCTTCCAGAAGTTTTATAGTCTTGTGTTTGACATTCAGGTCTGTGATCTAGTTTTTGTGAAAGTGTGAGATCTGTGTCTAGTTTTTTTTTCCCCCCTACAGCTCTCCAGTTATTTCAACACCATTTGTTGTAAAGACTCCTTTCTCCATTGCATTTTCTTTGCTCCTTTGTCAAAGATCGGTTGACTGTATATGTGTGGGTCTATTTCTGGGCTCTCTACTCTGTTCTGTTGATCTATCATCTGTTTGTTCACCGATAGCACACTATCTGGATCACTGCAGCTTTATAGTAAGTTGAGGTCAAGTAGCATGAGTCCTCCGCCTTTGTTCTTCTACTTCAGTATTGTATTGGCTATTCTAGGTCTATTGCTGAGCTGATTTTCTAAAAGACAATAATAATAATAGAAATAATAATGTGATTTCAATTGGTGGCAAGTGCTGTGAAGAAGCAAAATAGGGTAAGGACCAACTAGAGTGATAGGGAGTTTGGAGTAGTCGGGGAAGTTCTCTAAGGAGGTCTCAGGAGAAGAAACAGCCGCGAGGCCTCAGGGGCCCATATATGCCAGGCCGAGGATGAAGTCTCTGAGGTAGGAATAAGCTTGGTGTGTTCACAAAACAATGATAAGCCCAGCATATCAGGCGTTGTGATTGGCAGCAGGGATCCCCTGAGTCCACCGGGCAGATGTGTTCATACCCTCCCGGTGCTTCCATCTGACCGAGAGGCAGATGCCAAACAAGCACTGACAAAGAAGAGATTGGGGTGCTGGGAAAGCATTTCCCCTGGGGGCAGGCAGCCCTGAATAGGGAGCCAGAGACAGCGCCCTTGAAGAAGCAGCGCTGAATCCAAAGGTAAGGGAGAGTGGATGTTGGGTGGCCATGGGGGTCGGGAGGAGGAGTTTAGAAGAGTTCATGCAAAGCCCCTGTGCGGTTCAGGGAGCGGAAGGCAGGTCAGTGTGGCTTGGTGTGGGTGTGGGTGTGGGTGTGGGTGGGAGTGCAACAGGAACGCCGGAGAGCTTGGCAGACGCCAGGTCACAAGGCATTGTGTCAGCTATGGACTTACTCTGAGGACTTTTTTGGTAATAACTTTATTGAGATATAATTCATGTGCTTTACAATTCACGAACTTA